AGGACAGGAAGAGACAAGCACTGAAAAAAATTGTCTAATAGTTGTTGGAAGAAAATTTCCCTAATATCATATAAGAAACTGAATGAACCCCAAACAGGAAAGATGCCAAAAGAAAACCACCAAGACATATCATAATCAAACTTTCCAAACTCAAAGACAAGGAAAGAATCCTGAGAGCAGCTCAGGAAAAATGACATTATCGACAAAGGAAGACCAATAAGACTAAGGTCTGATTTCTCAGCAGAAACCATGCAGGCAAGAAGGCAATGGAATGGCGTATATAAAACTCTGACAGAAAAAAATTGCCAATCAAGAATCATATACCCAGCAAAGTCGTCCCTCAAATACAATGATGAAATTAGAACATTTCTTCATAAACAGAAATTAAAGGAATTTGTAATGACCAGATCAACTTTACAAAAAATACTAAACAGTTTTCTTCAGACTGAGAACCATCAACAGCAGATAATAACCTGAGATTACCATACTTGACAACACCACCTAGAAATCAATCCAGATATAGAAATATTTAAAGTAATACAAACCTACAAAACTGAAAATAGGAACCAGAGATATCAATATATAATAAAGTCAACTACAAAGCAAAAAGAGGGAATAGTGTTAGATACAGATTTTCTAAATGGCAAGGAAGTCAAGTAGATTTCAAAATAAAACAGACTGCTTTAATTAGGGAAAAAATAATGAATTACAGGGTAACTTCAAAGATTAATACCAGCACATCAAAAAAAAAAGAGGAAAATCAGCAAGATTTAGAAAACATCAACACAACAGAAATGAAAATGAAAAGAAAACCCACAAGCAAAATGAACTCAGCACAGGAATTATGTGGAACAAAGAATCCAGCAGCACCACAAAAAGAATACACAGAAAAATGACAATAATCAATTCAGACCTATTGATAATTGCAATGAACACAAAAGGATTAAATGTACCAGCCACGAGATGTAAAGAGCAAAATGGATAATACAAAAGGATTCTTCAATATGTTGTCTACAAGAGACATATTATAAGGATAGAGACAGTCTAAATGCCCATCAACAGAACTTTAGTACAAACACATAATGGAATAATACTATTGAGCAAACTTCGTCTATCACAAAAGGACAAACATTGTATGAGACCAATGTTGTAAAAAAGTAAAAAAAAGTTTTCTTGATAAAAGAAACAATGTATGATGGTTGGGGGGGTAGTGGAAGAGGGAAAATTATTCATTGTCTAGAGGTAGACACATGTTAACATGGGTGACAGGGCAGGCTTTCCACAACAAGAGGGAGGTTAGCTGAGGAAAGAGGAAGGTTCCAGCCAGGTGGGTAAGTGAAGTGGGTAATGAGGTGGGCACTCTGTCCCTGGCGAGCTGTGTCCGAATGCCCCACCTTGTTGAGGAGGTGCAGCAGGGCTTCCCGCAGGCAGCTGTGCCTCATGTAGAAGCTGATGATGGCCAGGTTGGTGCTGTAGTTATGCAGATACAAGAGGCATTCTTGGTAGTAGGTGTTGTGCATGATCTTCCCATCAGGAATCACCTCCAGGGAGAGGCTCTGGGTCCTAAGCGTAGCTTCCAGTTCCCTCAAGGTGGCAAAATACTCATCATCTTGCTGACAGGAGAAGAGGGCATGCATGGGAAAAATGGAACTCAGTTAAACTGTACGCTTTCAAAGAATACTTAACCATGTGAAAATACGTTCAGGCAGGACATAAAGTTCAGTATGCTGTAATGCTTTTAAAATTCATTAAAAAACATACTGGAATTGAAACACCTAAAAGGGGTTCTAGAACTTGCCCAGTGAAATAGGCCTCTTGCAGAGCCTTTGCAGAGTATAGGACCTTAGGTGGAATCCTTAGTCCCATCCACAACCTTCTGAGGTGGGACATTCCCACTAGAAAGGACAAACAGATCAGCCAGGAACAGCTAGAGCAACAGAAGACATATCTTCAAAGAAATATCAGCAGGAAAAACCCAAAACAAAAATGGCAGTATGAATGGCAACTACAAGAATTAAGCAAGTTGTTTGCCAGGAAGCCATCAAGTTCCTTCAAGACAAACCCCTCCTCTAAGACTGAAACTCAAAGGGAGTATGTAAGCTTGCTGATGACCACATTAATCTATTGGTGAGTGGAAGAGGGGGAAAGGCAGCAATGAAGAAATGGGCTGAGTTCAACCACGTTCCGTAGACTCCCGTTGACCTGGAGATGAGAGAGAGAAGAAGGGCTGGTTGGTCCAAAGTGTGGTGAGACCTGAGGACACCTGAGCCCACGGCCAAGGACATAGCCACAGAGGGCTAGAGCTGAGAGTAAGGCATCCAGCTGATATGAAGTGAGGGGAGATGCACAAGAACACGCAAACTTGCAGATAGTACCCATTTAACCTAGCTTCGATGGCTTGATAATCAGAACTCGACTAGAGGAAGATGAAAAAAAAAAACAAAAAAAATACTTTTTGATAAAGGAAATAAGTGTACATTGCTACAATTTGATGAACTTGACCTATAGTCATGGAAGTAGTAACTCTAAATACCAACAGAGAGGGAAGGTATCTTCACATCAAGTATCAATGCTATCCCCTCTGTACACAGGGTAGATAGGGACAGGCAACTTAGATATTAGCTACCTAAAATGAGGAGGTGATAAAGGCACGAAGTGACTTGCTTATAAGGTTTCAAGAGGGAGTTTAAGAGTGTGTGTGGGAAGAAAGAGTCCCTGCTGAAATCATCTTCATCTTGTCTACATGGGTCTGGTTAAAAGAGATGGGGATAAGATTCTTATGATTCAATAGTGAGTAACAGTTATCATGACTAATTGCGACTGTCACAATTATAAAGGTAGAAGTTTTGTAACCAAAACGGGGTAGTAGTTAATCTTATAGTCCAGAAACAAAGGACCCTAAGACCATCAAGGGAGAAGAGCACAAGCAGAATGTGAGACCTTATTAAGAGAAGCAGCAACACCAGAGACAGAGGCAGAGATGGGGATATGGAGGTAGTAGCTGAGGACTCTAGATTCATGGAAAGAGAGGGACTGAGTGCTGGTGGCCAGGAAGCAGACTTGCAGAATGTGCCCTTTGGTGGTGTAAATTATTATATATGCCTGAGTGTTTTTTTTAAAAAAAGAGCTAAAGTGAATAGAGAGAAATACTGTTATCTGATGGTACATGGAGGGGATTATAATCATTGTAATACAACAAGGTGTATGATTTGTTGAATGCAAAACTGGTGGTCTGCCCTGTATACTTTCACTAAATTCACAATAAAAACTTAAAAAAAAACAAAAACATATTGGAGAAAACTCACCAAAACCTTAATACCAATTTTTTAAGTCTCGGTATGGAATTAAGGTACTTGGGTGGTACAGGTGGTGATAAAGGTTGGCAGTTCAGTCACCTAGCAGCACCAAGGAAGAAAGGCCTGGTGATACTGCTGAGGAAACCTTCTGTAGCAGTTCTTATCTGTAACATGTGGGATAACTATGAATTGGAATGGGTTTGTTTTTATTTTAAAACAGGATACCCATACTGTTAATCTTTTAAAAAATAGGGTTTTTTTCGTGGTTTCTTTCTTTTTAAAAAATGTGACTGTATTGTTTTCTGAATCATATACAGGGTTGCTATGAGTCGGAACCGACTTGATGGCACTTAACAACAACAACAATTATTTAACTACAGTTAAGTCTGCAAAAGTTGAAACCTGTGTAAGGTGGAAACCTGTCATTGAAGGAAAACTCCCATACTTTTTACCAAATTCTGGTGCTGAAGGTTAATGCACCAGACTGCAAAGCTGTTTGAGCTGCAAGGTCAGTGGTTCAAACTCCTTGGAAACCCTATACAGGGTCGCTATGGGTCAGAACCGATTCAGTGGCACTTAACAACAAGAAGAAGCAGCAAGAGAGAAGTGGTAAGGCCACAGCCTGTCAAAGGTGGAAAACTTGTGAGACCTGGAAAGACAAGGCAGTTCTGATGAGTTCTGGCTTTTGTAGGTTTCACTGCATGTATAATGGAATAATGTAACAGAAGGTTAACTGGGTAGGCTCTGAGCTAGATCTGACCTAGTTAGCTGATTCTTCCTCCTCAGTGTGACCAGGCACACTGTGTCTGGCCAGATTCCCTCCCTGAGCCAAGCCTTCTACTTCTTACCAAGGACATGAGGGGCCTTGCTGTGGACTCCAGGTACTCAACCACATCCTGTACCAGCCTTGAGCCGTGACTCAGTTGATTGAGGTCAAAAGGGGGCTTCAGACAGCGGCTGAACTTCTCCCGTGCGGCAGGGAGGTTCCCAGCTTTGAGGCAGGCCATGCCCCAAGCATGCCATGCCCCAGTAGTATCAAGCCCAGTCTTTGTAGAGACCTGGAAGAAAAATTGCCCCTTCTTAGAGATAACTACCTCACCTTGGCAGCCTGTCATCACTCATACATTCTTCCCCTTGGCCAAGGACACCTGAGAGTTGGCAGTTATCTGTTTGGTAAGGATAGATGATGGCAACTCAAAAGAATGGTAGAGTTAAGCTTTGTCTCTGCCTCACCTCAACGCCCAGCTGGTAGTACTCAGCTTCCAACAGCTGGTTCCGTAGCCTGGTTACAGCAGCTGGCTGCAAGATCTGATCCAGAGATGGCACGTGGCGGTAGGCAGCAGCAACTAAAATATTCAGTACATCGACCTTGCTGATGTAGCTACAGGGAGGGAAATGGTGTGACAATGAGTCTCTGCAGACTCTTACTTAGGATAAACCAAACCCAGTTCATTGTTACAGAGTCCATCCTGACTCATGGGGACCCCAAGTGATGCAGAGTAGAGCTGCCCCGTGAGGTTTCCTTGGCAGAGCCGATGGTAGGTTCCAAACACAGCCAATCTTTTTAAGCTGAGCACTTAACCGTATTACCAGCAGGGCTCCGTGAACAGAACGTGCCAGCACTGAAAAGAACCCAGACTCGTTTACAAATACCTGTCACAAAGAGCCAAGTCCTGGCTCCGGCCGGCCCTGACAAACATCATCTTGGCGCTGAAGAGTAGCTGCTTCATGATGTCTGTGAGCAGCCCTGCATCCACTTCAGGGTTGGTGAGGCCCTGGGACAGCCTGCAGCAGTGCTCAATCAGCTGGTGGCCACAGGCAATGCTGTCCCGGTGCAGATTCAGGATGGCAATGCACAAGGAGGCGCTGGGAGCCTGGCCAGGGTATGAGGAGAGACACAAAGTGAGCTTGGGGAGCAAAGCCGTCTTCAAATGCTGCCGGGTGGTAGGAATTAAGTCTTCCTTTTCACTGGTGGGAGGAGGCCAACGTTCCACACCAAAGCAGAAGTGGAACTCCACACACTTCAGATGCTCTATGTGGCACTACCAAACCTCTGGCTGCTAGGTTTCGTCACTTCACTGGGAAGCAGGTGGCTGTGTCCATGTGCTGCCTACTTTTGAGACTGCTGCTAGGCACTCTCTTTTTTCCAGCCTCTGGTTCTGCTAGTGCAGCCCTCCTTTTTGATGTGGACCATGACAGTTACCTTGCTATCTGCCCACCTGGAGGAGTCCTCTGTTGAAAGCCACTGGATAATTCCTAAAGCACACTTCTTGTCGTTCTCTTCCTCTGCTCAGAAAGCTTTCACAGGTTCCTGAAGCCTACCACATACCAGGAGTCCTGGTGTAGTGCTGTAGGATAAGAACTGGATAGCTAAAGAAAAGGTAGGTGGTTCAAACCTGCCAGATGCTTCTCAAAAACACTATATGGGATTGTTATGAATTGGAACCGATTCAACAGCATTTAACAACCACCATTCACCACCACGTACTCTAGAATTCAAAACCCTATATATGAAGCCCTCTTCAAGCCAATGTTTTACTTCCTTCTCTATTTCTTACATGTCTTTCAAATGGAAGAACATCACACCCTGTGACGTGTAACACTGTGCCTTTTCACGTGCGTCCCCATCACCATGCCCAAGGTGGATCTTAAATGCTACCCCTGCCATGAAGCCTTCCCTGATTTCCTCTGACCTTCCATGACCCTCACCTGCTTTGTGTATTTCCCAAGATGGTCCTCATTTTCTGCCGTACACTTATTTACACTGTCATCCTGCATTCACGTACTCTAAATTTCTTTCCATGCTACGTACATCACTTACAGCTACTGTTGAGTCAATTCCAACACAGGACAGCCCTATTTGTGCAGTATAGAACTGCACTCCACAGGGTTTTCAAAGCTGTGACCCTTGCAAGGAGACTGCCAGGGTTTTGTTCTGAGAGGCCTCTGGGTAGGTTTGAACCTCCAACCTTTCAGTTAGTAGTTGGTTGTTTAACTGTTTATGCCATCCAGGGAATCCTTTACACATAGGGTTTCTGAGACTGTAAATCTTTATGGGGACAGCCTCAACTTTCTCCTACAGAGCTTCTGGTGGGTTTGAACCACCAATCTTGAGGCTAGCAGTCCAACGCCTAACTATACATCATGTTGTTGTTGTTAGGCGCCGTCAAATTGGTTCTCACTCACAGTGACCCTATGTAGGGTTTCCTAAGAGCAGGTGGGGGGCTTGAACTGCATATCTTGTGGTTCGCAGTGCAGTGCTGATCCTATAGTGTCATACCATAAGGGCACTCAAATGATGGTTACCTTTTACTGCTATTACCTGCTCATAGTAAAATTCACTCCGCACCAGCTCATTTTCCTCCTCATTCAGATCCAAAGTCCATTCCAGCTCGGCTACTTTGGGGACTCTCACCACGGCTGAGAACGGAGGGCTTCCACTCTCAGAGCTGTCTGGTGCTGAGGAGAGAAGGGCATTCATCGGTCAGTCAGATGCTATCTTACTGCTCCCTTTCTCTCTCCTCGGTCCCTTCTGTTTCCTTGAGAAGACGATAAGGCATCTCAAACATTCTTGCCCAGGCATAGACTTGGGGGTGAGTGTTATGATGTTTGCCACACAATTCCAGTCCTTCACATGAGCAACCCTGAGAAGCTCTTGCTTCTCAAACAGCGGGTCGAGCTGCTCATACTCTAGGAAATTACCCGCTGGGAAGGATAGGGACCAAATTGTTAACAGTGGCTGTCTAGCAGGAAAGAGGAGCACTGGGTGGTAGGTTCAAGGAGTCCAAGGGATAAATAAATAACCTACTAAAAGATAAGGACCTTTCTTTGTTTTTATTTTTGCATTACATTTTGTACCCCATTTCCACATGTGCAGTGACACTGATTACATTCCTTAAGTTGTTTAAAATTCTCAGCCTCCTATTTTGAGTTATTCCTCCTCTAGTCACATAAATTCACTGCCAACTAGGGGTCTCCTATAATCTCTTGAGTTGCTGTTTTAACTTTGATCCCCTATTTCATAAAACAGTGAAATGCTCAAGGCAGACATTATTAGATAAACTATACTCCTGTTTGGTTTTAAGAAGACATCTGTGCATATTTTTGGTTTAAGATTTAAAGATGATCTCAGGTCAGTAGTTTCAGGGGTTCACCCAGTCCCCTTGGCTCTAGAAAGTGCAGAATCCATAGGAATTTGAAGTTTTGTTTTACATGCCTCCCTTTTTGACCAGGATTCTTCTAGACAGTCATTCACTGATCAAAATATTCAGCAATGTTAGACGGGCACTATCCAGTTCTCATAGCAACTGAGGAGCTGTTGATGGAGGCCATCAGCCACACATTCTACACCCACACCTCCTCACCTGACTCTCTGTTGCTAATGGCAAATAGAGATCAGCTGATGTGCCCTGGATTGCCACCTGCATGCTTTTAAGAGCCCATCACTAGGCAATCAACTAGCAAGAACAGGGGCACTAAACAAAGCATTAAGCCAATTATCTGGGACAAAGGGCCGTTTTTTGGGTTTTAGGCTTTCACAATGCTAGAAGCTAATGGTTAGTGTGATAGGTTAATACAAAGCTCTATAGAGAAAATAGGCTGATAGAAATGCCAAGCATTTGCTTTGACAAAAAGGTTCAATTGAGTTGCTACTGAGTGTTATCACTAAAGAGAGTCTCAGAGAATGGAATTCCATCTTACCTTCTGATTCTCCTGGATTCTCCTCTGGCAAACTGGAAACAGAAAGAAAGATTAAATGCCTGAACCACTTCTGCTCCTTTTTCTATTTTAGCTTAGTGGAGAGTACTGACATTCACTCTGTTACCTAGGATATGAGAGACTCACCCAAAGCTCCCTGTCACCTGTGACCACCAGGTCCTGTCCATTCCATCTTATAAATCTCAGCTCTCTCTGTCTCTGTGTGGGCTCCCACTGTTTTTTGCCAGACTCTTCACAGTCGCTTCCCAATTGCTCTCCTGATTCCGTCAACCTAGTCTCTACTTTGCAGCTACGTCAACCTAGTCTCTACTTTGCAGCTAAGACGTGGCTTCAAAAAGCTCGTAGACAAATTCCACGATCTTTTCATTCTTTTTTTTTCACCCATGAACTTTTTGAAGCTACTCCGATAACACAGAAAACTTTCTAAACATGCAAATCTGGTTATGTTATGCTCCTGCATAAAATGCTTTGGTAGCTCTTCAAGCTAATAATAATAACAACCCCACATTTCCAGCTCAGCAGATAAAACCCTTTATGAAATGGCCTAGCTACCTCCTGAGGCCATTCCCTGCCATCCAGGACCTCTGGTCAAGCCATCTAAAACCTTCCTCTTCTGCCACTGGCCCTGATCAGCTTCAGCCAGCATCACCTAGCACTAAGTCCTAAAGCCACAAGCCAGGGTCCAATCTAGTACCCACACCAGCAGCCTGCTGGTCAACTCAGCCCCTGCTGCCAGTGTGTTAAGTCCACAGTATACTAGTCTGATCCTTAGCCCATCACCACCTAGTAAGAGTTCCTGCAATCATCTACATTTTCCCCCACCCCAATCTTTGCAATTGCTACTCTTAGTTCTAGGTGAGCTCTTTTTTGGCTTCTTTTCCTACGAATTTTTTATTTTCTAAGGCTCGCATCAGGTGCCCCCACCTGTAGGAAAGCTGACTCTCTCAGGCTAGGCAGCATGTGTAATCCACTGCACCTATCCTCTCTCTGCCTTGTTGGTTGTCTCCCTGCTGAAATGGGAGCTCCTTGAGGCTGAAGAGATTACTGCTGATTGATTGTTGCAAGAAGAAATCCAGTGACCACAAGAAGAAATCCAGTGACTACTATTGGCTCATTTCCTTCTCAGCAGTATGGAGTGTGGGCGATACCTTGCACCCGACCCTAAGGCCACAGAAACCATACAACAGGTGATGATAACAGCAACCATCATGGTCCACAATAACAAAACCATTCATATCACAACAAACACCACAGTGCTATTAAGCAGAATGTCACACTAAGTGAAACATGGAGATTTCAAAACCATTTCCCTTTTGAGTAGCTGCTTTGGCCCATATTCCAGATGCCCTGGGAGTCATAGTTCATCCTCCTTGGCTGCTAGAAGCAGATCACGGTCTTGATCTGTCTGGCCAGAGGAATGAGCAGTTCCTGGAATCCACCACAAGGTGAACTCCACCCACAAGTGGCTAATAAGCCAGGATGACTGCCTGGCTTCGATCTGATGAAAGAGATACCCAGATATTCAGTGTCTGTGAATATGTGCTGTTAAGTCCAGCTGGGACCAATGAAAATGAGGGTGGTTGGGAATAGCTGAGGGTGTTGGTAGCCTAAGACCTATGGCCCGAGGCGGGGAAGTGCTGAAGGACCAAGTGTCCTGACCTCAGAGAGACCCTCAGGGAAGAGTCTTGAACACCAAGCATGGCTTCCTCTCCTGTCAACTTCCTCCCTTAGTCCATTGTCTGACTCAGGCTGTTCTACAGTGGCATTTTGAAGTGAATGCAGTAAATGGCAAGTTTCTGGAGCGATTCTCCACCTGGAAGTCCCCAGCAGCGGTGGATGGCAGTAGCGGCTCTGCCGCAGGACACTCACTCTTGGTTGAAGTAGCTGTAACACTGGTCACAGACACGAGCAAGGTTCTCTCTGCAGCCATCCACCGTCATCTTCTTAGTGGAGCAGGAGCTGCACACAAGCCGACCACAGCGCCGACAGTGATGGCGCCTGTTAAACTGAGGGGTGTCATCAGGAGAGAAGCAAAAAAGGTGAGTTTGCAGGAACTATGACTGTACCTGTCATCAGCCCATTCAAGAGTTGTAATTTGCCACCTGTGGCTCATTATCGCCAGACAACACAAGTAAAAGAGCACCGCAGTCTGCCCTGAAGCAGCTGACATATTAAGGTTCTTCTCAGCTGAAGGGCAAAGGTGCCCACATCAGGGCCAGTTTTGCAATAGCTCTTGGGATATGCTCTTCTTGTCCTTGGAGGCAATGTGTGAATACACAACCAAAAACAATGGGAAGTGACTTTCTCAGTCCATGAGGGTCACATTTCTACATGGCACCAATGAAGAAAAAGTGCTATTTTCTGAAGTACTAGCACTGCCTCACTTAATTTTAAGAGTTCTGTGGGGAAGCTGCAAGCATTACACCTTGTTTACAGATGAGGCAGAAACAGATGATGAGAAGCTACATTCATCATCGTTTTCATCAGCACTGACTAGTGTGCCAGTGAGTTAGCAGTCTATGCTAAGTGGGCTGATGCGTGTTGCAGTATTATGTGCTAGGCTCCATGAGTGCTATCAACTGGAAGATTGGCGGTTTGAATCCACCCAGAGGCACCTCCAAACAAATGCCTGGCAATCTACTTATAAAAGATCACAACCACTGAAATCCCTATGGAGCATGTTGTTGTTAAGTACCATCAGGTCTGTTCTGACTCATAGTAACTCTATATAGGGTGTTCGAGGCTGCAGATCATGAAAGGGCCAGAAAGCCTCATCTTTTTCCTGGGGAATGGCTGGTGGGCTTAAACTGTAGACCTCATGGTTATTCTACAGTGCTCTCCTGCTCCCCCAATGGAACATCGTTCTATGCTAACATCCTTGGGGCTGCCATCAGTTGCAACTGACTCAGTGGTAACTGGTTGGGTTTTGGTATTCATTTAAAAGGTGAGTGTCTAGTGACTGAGAAAGCTTGCCAGTTAGAGGCAGAGCCAGGAATTGAATCTTGATCCTCTGTCTCCAAACCAGAATGTCTGACCACCAGCGGGTCACCTAAGTTACTGTGAAAGACAAGGAAGCTAGAAACAAAGTCTCCAGACCTGTGGTGATACAACACTGCCGCTTTTTAGTGACTTTAAGAGAATGACAAAGAGTCTGAATTTAAAGTTACTGGAAGGTGTCTATGATCTGTCTGAATCCAAAACCACCTTATATTCAGATTGAAGAGAAACCAAAAGTCTTACGTTTGATAGTTCTGAAAAGACCAGTATTCTCTTGAGACAAAGAGAGACTACAAGCCCAGGTCCATGAGCTTCTCATGCTGGTAAAGCTGGAATCAGACTGCTTACCATGGTGAAGTGTTCTCGGCGGCAGACCATGCAGATGTTCTCAGTTTCATCTGGTACCCACTGGTGTCTAGCAGGGGGTGTCGCGGGGGGCACAAATTCCAGAAGGGGTTGCCTCTGTGGGAAGCTCCTTTCCTTTGGGCTTGGGAAATGTACATTGGAGATACCTGGGGATCAGAGACAGAATGAAATGAAACAATGAAAGCTGATAAATATTCTAGATAGTAAATGAAAGTGGAATGATGGAATTAGTTATCACCCTTCTGCAAACCCCTCCTGAAGTAACGGACCTAAAGACCATCAGTGGCTCTTTGCATCATAAAACAGAGACGACTGGACCCTGTGTGTCTCCACAGAGCACCAAAAAAATGTACTGAAAAACCAAGCCTCTACATCTAAGTGGACCCTGGTGTGGTGCTGCTGGATGAACACTTGACCATAAGGTTTGTTTGAACTGCAAGATCAGCAGTTCAAACCCACTAGTCGCCCCTTGGAAGCCCTATACTGGGTCACTCTGAGTTGGAACAACAAAATCTAAGTACTATTTTGTAGGAAATACAGGGAATGGGGGCCAAGATTACCACTGGGAGGCAATCAGCAAAATCCAGGATGTGGGAAACTATAGGACAAATAACCTCATTTCTCCCACAAATCAAAAATAGACCTGAAAAAGAAAAAAAAGATAAGGGAGCCTGGTAATTAAGAGAGGTATAAGAGATATTTTTGTCAGATGCTATGCTGGAAACAATTTAGATGTTGTTTCTAGAAAAACCAACAATAAAGAAATGTTTCTGAGACAGTGGAGGGCACCTGAATACTGCTGTTTGGTAAGGAGGACTCCTGGTGTGGTGCTATAGGATCAGCACTGAACTGGGTACAAGGAAGGCAGTTCAAATCCACCAGCTGCTCCCCAGAAACCCTATACAGGGTTGCTATGAGTCAGAACCGACTCTACAGCAGGTGACAACAACATGATAAGGAATCAGTGTCAGTCTGTTATCCAATATGATTACAGTGTTATGATTCTGCTTTATAAAAGTCCTTATGAGAAATACGAGGGTGTTTCAAAATGTTTGTGGGAAAATTTCATTATCTTTTAATTCCATTTTTCTATGAACTTTTTGACGGACCCCTTTATATTCTGAAGTACTTCTAAATGAAATGATTAGGCTGTCTAGGCTTTGTCTCAAAATAATACTGTAGAAGAATGGGGCACAGATAAAACAAGAACAGTCAGGTGAGATTTCGTGAATGATCCTCTCTACTTGTGTTTATTGTTAAGTTTTCCATAAGAAGCAGCTAGAAAAATAACAAAGCTGCTCAGGCTATCTTACACAGATAGTGCTGAAAGTGCTCCTATACTCGGAAGGCTGACCCTTCTCTTCAGGCCTGCTGGTTATCCGGGAAGCACAGTGAATTCTCCAAGTATGGCTGTGGAATGCTTTATTTTATAGCATCTGAGGAGATTTTTGTTGTCTAGCTATGTTGACAACTCATACACACACACACACACACACACACACACACACACACACAGAACTGAGGACCACAGAGACTCTGAGCAGAAGACTCTTAGAAGAAAGGTTATACACCTTGCTCGAGAATCTTAATCCCTTGATTGTTTGGCTTGCTGAGCTTCTCCTAAGTGTAAGCCAGTGTGTAAGGAGCTGGAGGGGTTGTGACAGGGTGGCTAAATAGGTAGAGGTCCTTATGGAGTTTCCTATACCCAGGGTGAATGACAGACATAAATAACACAGGAGGCAGAATGAACAAGAGGATTCGGACATTGAAGTCTCTGGAATGTGCAAAACTGGAACAAACCAAGAAATAATAATGAGACTGTTGTAACTGGAAATGAAAAGAGGTAAAAGAATCAGAAAGCCAGAATTGGGCAAGCTTGAACCAAATAATGACTAATTTCCAGGACCTATGCTTACCAGAGTGGCGCTGTGGGTTAATGCGCCAGACTGCAAAGTCGTTTGAACTGCAAGCTCATCAGCTGCAACTCAGAAACCCTACACAGGGTCACTATGGGTCGGAACCGACTCGACAGCCCTTCACAACACAACAACATGCTTACCGGAAGAGGACGAAGGGAACACTACTGATGAGGATCCAGTTAAGGTCTCAGGGTCTGGAACTTGACTGACAATTTCCTGGAGGTGAATCACAGGATCTGTAAAGACAGAAAACACTGAGAATATGCTGCTGTACCAAAACATCCTCATAAACTGTGCTAGGCATTCAGTTCAAAGCCCCTGTTGGCTTCCCTGATTGTCAATCCATGATTCGGCTAGGTATGAAGAAAATGGTAGAGGTACTGCTCGGCCAAGAGCATGCACATTTCCTAAACTTCTCAAAAAACAAACCACATTTAGGTACATGAGCTACTGAAGCCAACACTGGGAATTTACAAAATCAATCTATGAATACCAGGGGGAAAGGGAAGACTTTTAAATGATGCCCCTGAAGGGTAGGTAGTCAGAAAAAAAGAGCAGGCTAGGAGCATCAACCCATAGTGACTTCATTGTCTTCCTTCTAGAAGAAGCTGCGTCAGCTCGTGTACAAGCGAGAGATGATGTGACCTGGAAGAAAGCATGCTTTCAACATACAATGATGGCTAGAGAGAGCATTTTCGGCAGCCTTCATTTCCCAGACATGGATGCGATTATGCTGCTATTAGTTGTTGGCTCTGACTCAAGCTGAATGAATGAAGGCTTTTGCGTTCTATGCAATCTTCAAGATCATGGATGTCACTGTTGTGGCCATTGTGTCCTCACCCACTGACGGTTTCTCTCAGTGTCTCCGGCCTTCTGCTTTACCAGACTTGTAGTGGCTGTCTGCTGCTGTTAGCTGCAGTCTAGTCGATTTCAACTCAAAGAGGTCCCGTGTGACAGAAGTGAACTGCCCATAGGTTTTTTTTTTGTTTGTTTGTTTTTAAATGGCTAATGATCATGAACATTTTTTCATGTTTGTTGGCTGCCTGAATATCTTCTTTGATAAAGTGTCTGTTCATGTCCTCTGCCCATTTTTTTTTCTTAAATGATTTATTGTGAATTATGTGAGTTTACATGGGAGAACATTAGTTTTACATTCATTCTATCGTATATCGTCTCATTGCCATGGTTA